CCTGCCTTAAGCATGGGACAGGCAAAAGTATCTGTGCACCCCTGCTGGGAGCAGCTGAGGTCACTCATTCTGCTGAGCCTGGAGAAGAGACTGAGGAGAGACCTCATTGCAGCTACAACTTCCTCGTGAAGGGAAGAGGAGGGGCAGGCACGGATCTCTTCTCTCTGGTAACAGTGACAGGACCCCAGGGAATGGCCTGAAGCTCTGTTGGGGAAGTTTTGGTTGGATATTTGGAAAAGGATTTTCATTCAGAGGATGGTTGAGCACTGGAAGTGGGTCCCAAAGGATGTGGTTGCAGCCCCGGGCCTGACAGAGTTGGAGAGGTGTTTGCACAACACTCTCAGGCACATGGTGGGATTCTTGGGGCTGCATTGGGTTTACATTTCTGTTTTAACTTCCAGTGGTTTTTGCTTGAGTCTTTTATGGCTGCCTGGTATAATTGTCTTCTGTCCATATTGGCATGGTTGTTGATATTTGTTTAGGCAGTTAAACTGAGCTGCAATTCCATGAAATTTCATCATAATTTCTGATTTTTTTGGGAAGGTAATTTTTCTGACAGTTGTGATTTGTTTTCCTCAAGTCTGCATAGTTTTGATTTTTGCAGTTATTTGCCAGTCACAGCACAGAGCCACAGGGACTATAGTTTCTTATTGCATTGAGTAATCATCCTGAAATTAGAATATGAAAAAAAATTTGGGAGAAGATATGGCCAGAAGCCATATTGTTTTTCTAGCTGAGGTGAAAACTTTAGATACCTTTTGTTTCAAATAAAGCATTTTCTGAATCTTCTTTGAAATGTAAGATGCTCTGTACCTGTAATATGCTTTTTCTAAATGCTTTGGCTTTCTCTTTCTGTTCTGCTCTGATTTTTTTATGTATTGAATGTACAGGTGATATGCAGCTGTGATGCTGCCAAAATGCCCAAGTTACATAAGTGTTTTGTTTCCATTGCAGCTGTTTTGGTTAAAAGAAGTGCCTTAAATTAACTGCCAGGACACTCAGACTAAAGTGCAAGCAGAGCCTGTAAGCAAAAGGCAAGTACTATATGTAAGGTTTTTATACTTAGACGTCTTTGCCAAAATTATGGTGTAGAAAATATCTTGCTAGAAATGGACTAGCTCCTAGTTCCTTTGGACAATAAGGAAATACTATTTTTAAACTTTGTTTTTTGGCAGAACTCTCTCTGAAAATGGCGGAAGCTCATCAGGCAGTAGCTTTTCAATTTACCGTAACTCCAGATGGGATTGACCTGCGTATGAGCCATGAGGCACTCAAACAGATTTACCTATCTGGTGTCTATTCGTGGAAGAAGAAGTTCATCAGGTTCAAGGTATGCTAAACTGGTCCAGTCTACCAAACTTCAGGGTTATTTAATGTTTTATGAATTTACTGAAGTTTCTTCAGGGACAACTGATTTTTTTTTTTCTTTCTTACGGTAAATAAAGTTCCTCATTGTGAAAGATTTATGGGGGTTTTATTTAAGACAAGGGGTACTGAGGAAGTTGGCTCAGGGTGATACTGTAAAGTCTGAAAGGGTACATATTATTCTATGGAAGCAAGATGAAGCAGATGTAGAAATTTACTGACTTCATTCTCTTCATGATGTACCATGTAATTATGTAATCTTTTAGCAGAAGTCAAAAGTATGACTAGTTGTGATCTTTAGTGTCATATGTCTTAGAGGTAGAAGGTTGCACTCTTTATTATAGCTAAGTAGTATTGTTTCTGATGGCCAATAGATTGCCATGAATTTACGGTTCTGTTCATGGGATTATAATTGTAAATATCTGTTTCGTGAATAGCAAACTACATAAGCTACAGGATATCTTCAACATCTGTTTCAAAAATGTAAACATATTAACAGAAATCTTATTAAAATTTTCTTAAAAAGCCATGAGAAGAACTGTTTAAATTATATAAAATTGTTAATTCTGGTTTTCAGTGTCTTGTTCAGTAAGATATTTTTGCCATATATTCATGTAGGAGGGTCTAACTCAGTGTAAATTGAAATTACTGAAGTGTCATTTGTTTTAGGGCTGTTAGTTAGTTTCAGTATTTTTAGTAAGACTTGGAGATCACAGGATCAATGATGTCTACAAGAGAATGTAAAAGTTCCTTTCATTGTTGATGTAATTGTTACAGTTTTCTGTAGTAACTTAGGTAAATCTGTTCCCTAGTTCTGAGATAATCACATGTAAGAAAACATTGGATAATCTTAACTACTTCTATGTAACTAAATGACTTAAATGTGTTGATTTTTGTTTCTTTCCATGGTAATATGAAGTCAATCACTTTGGTATGAAAAAATTATGTCGAGGCTTTTCTTTCCAGAATGGAATTATCACCGGCGTTTATCCTGCTAGCCCATCTAGCTGGCTTATTGTAGTTGTGGGTGTGATGTCAACCATGTATGCCAAAATTGATCCTTCATTAGGAATAATAGCCAGGATCAACCGAACACTTGATACAACGTAAGTAGACTGAAAGGTGACTGTTACTCTGAAAGGAAATCAGTTTTATTGCAGGTACTCTTAAAACTATTCCTATTGAAATATATCAGTTTTGGAACACTACATTTGTGACATGATAAGCCAGATAAACGGATGTATGAGGGTATTAAATAGGGAGGTTGTTGTCCCAGTATTGCTACATAATTTTCTGGGTATTTGGGAAGCACATTTGGGAATTTTTATGGCCTTTGATGTTGCTGCATGAAAAGGTTTTTGGAAAGAAATTTTTGAGAGCAGGATAAGCAGGCATAAAACTTGTCTAAGTCCTGTCCCTGCTACTATTAGGCTTAGGTTTGCAATACCAGCTTCTCTTTGGAATCTAAATGGACACTAACTGGCATATGCTGGCTTTTGTTTTAAATAGTGGCTATATGTCAAACCAAACACAGAATATTGTGAGTGGAGTACTTTTTGGCACAGGGCTTTGGGTTGCCCTTATCGTCACAATGCGCTACTCCCTGAAAATGCTGCTCTCCTACCATGGTTGGATGTTCTCTGAACATGGCAAACTTTCTGCTGGCACCAAGTTTTGGATGGTAAGGATATGTTGGTTTCATTTCATCTTCTGACTGATTAGTCAGTCTGACTGATTCAAAGCCTTAAAATAAAATTTTGTAGTTTTATTCTTTTCTTGTATTTTTTTGTGTCATGGGACAGGAGGCTGTTAGGTAGCTACTTCTACTGTCACCCTTCTGTTGCTGTAATGAAATTATTCATCATGGCCTGCTAGAAGGAAAAGTAAACACTCCAAGAATAACTTCAGATGTGCCAATGCCTTGGTCCTGTGTGACTCAATACCTGCCTTTTCTCTATGTGCAAGTACAGCTTAAAGAACTTTGGCTGCAGCACCAAAGAATCTTATCCTCAGAGAAAGTGTTCCCCTAATTCTTTGTTGTAATATTAGGATTTCTAGTCATCCATTATAAAATTATTCTTCTGCTTGAAGAAAATATTGTTGAATGTCTTTTCAACTGATTCATTGGTATGCCTCCAAAATGAGTTGGGGAAGAAGTATAAGGTGTAGGTAGCATGTTATGTAGTTTTCATATAAGGGTAAAGTGAGATTGTGGTGCTTTGGAAAAGGATTCTTAAAGGATATGATAGGTATAAAGTGAGGAAATGTAGGTGTCAGTGCTGCAAGAGATGAAGTGGAGTTTTGCTACTTGAACTTGGTTGTTTCATCTCACTTCTGCCTGTATTGTGGTAGAAATAGCTTATTTTCTGTACCGTGATAAAATTAGTCTCTGTGGCCTCAAAAATTAGCGTGTTAAACTAAGTGCAGGTCATGATTTACTGTAGGAGATATTCAAGGACAAGTATCCAGGATGGTGTACACTTTAAATAGAGTTTAATGTTTGTCTGTTACAAATGAAATTTCTAATTGATGGTTTCTCCTGGAAGCGGTATCAGCCTCATGGCTCAAATTGGTACAGTCCAGAGGCTCTGAATGGTAAGGCTTTCTGTCAGTTGCTTGGAGCTGTAGCTGCCTTGGTTTTCAGCATGTCCTACCAGATAGATACTTCAAAGCTCTTAATATTGCCTTACCAACCTTAAAACAGTATGAACTGTAATGCTACTTACCATGCTTTGTTGCATATTGTATTTATCAATTTTTGTCCATCATATATGTTGCATATGTATTTTGTTGTGCATTGTATATGTTTTAAAAATGCAGAATACTGAAGATGTATGTATGTCCAACAATGTCTCATCTATACTTACTATGAAGGTCTATTTAACTAGACCCAGCAAAAGAGAAGTCTGGCTTCACTAGTGAAACCGCTCCAACTACTTTAGCTTTCTAGATTTTTATAATACTGTTTTCTCTTCAAATGATCATGCAGATCAAAAACCTGAACTCTAATTTCAGTCACAGTACAAAGTGATTTTTCAGCCTGGTTGGAAGTCTAGTGACACTTCTAATCAGCATAGTTCACCTTGTAAAGTCAAATTTCCTGTATCAGTGTTAGGGGAGAAATCCAAATATTAGTTACCGTTTTAAAAAATTAATTTAAAAAGTGGTAATCGTGTGTGAACAGATGCAACATATGTTAGAATGACATTATTTGCTGTGTCTGCATATGAAATCAGAAATGTAATGAAATGTGTGTTTCTGTCAGAGCACTTTGTTGGTCTCAAGGTATTATAAATTCTCTATTACAAGTTTTTTAAGAGATAAATGCTGTGAAATGTGTTTGCTGGTTTTTGTCAGTTGAGCAGTCACTCTCTTAAAATACTTTTAGCCTTTTCTGGCTTAAGAGTTTTGGAATAAAATTGTCTCCAAGTATGAAATTAGATTTCCAGATGAAAAACTGAGCTTTTTCTTTCCCACTTGTTTCCAAAATTTTCTTGTCCTGAAGCACAGCTGGATTTCATTTGGCAGATCTCTGTGGTGCATCCCATGTACACCCGATGGCTCTGATACACATCCATTTGCAGGGAGATCTTTATTGCTAGTAATACTTTTCAATTCTTAGCTGTTTTGTGCTGCCTAAAATTATCTCCTCTAGCTGTGCTGAGCCGGGAAGCTGAGAGGGAGCAAAAGCTCTACATTCTGACAGTTTTGTTAGGAGAAGTTTTCAGAATTTAGTGGTGAAATGACGTTCTCTGTTTTATTCTATCTTGTCTGTCGGCTTATATATACTATCCTGTGTATTGGACCGAGATTACACTGTGACAGTAAAAGTTCCACCAGATTGTTGGTATAACACTTCACTTCACTTTCATGCTGAAATAGGGTGGCAATGTCAAAATCCTTTCATGAGTAGCCTAGAAGTTGCATGGTCTAGAATTTCAGCTTAGTTTGTGCTGCAATTGAAAAGTAATAGTGGACAGAAAAGCTGCTTTTGTTTTCACTCTCCTGTGGAAACAGGAGATTCTGTAATATCTGAAGCTAAGTTCTCTCTGGCTGTTTTGTTTCGTTGCTGGGGTTTTTTTGTAACACAAGCACTGAGTATAACACTGGCATGCTTGCACAATTTGGTATGTTCCAATCATGCAGTAGACAACCTGAGATTGATTCATGCTTGAATTAACTCCATATAACATCAGTTCTGTTATTGATGTTGAGCTGTAACTTTGGAAAACATTAAACCATGATACAAAAGCGTAATTATTATTTTGAAAGATTACTGTGGTTATCTAGAAACGTTACCTGAGTCACAGGCTTGATAATGATTGTGTTTTGAAGCACAATTTAGATACGTTTCTCATATCTACTGTGTAATATAGTAAAAGGTTAGGCAGTAGACGTGGCCTTTTTAATCCTTCCAGAGGGGAATATATGAAGAAAAGAAGTGTAAGTAACTGTATTTATATTGAGATTGAGGTGTGCCCTACATAAGCAGCAATATTGTCTGTGACAGGTTGATGACTGGGAAGTCAGGAATGACCATGCCTCTCTTGCTCTTCCCCTGACATGTTGTTTAACCTTTAGGAAGTTAGTTTCTCCCAAGGCCTTTTTTTACTGGTGGAACAGTGATAAATATGGTAGCTTCCTAAATGTAGTACAGTATAATTTACCAGTGAGAAGGACTGTGAGGTACATTACACATTTACTCTGTCATTTTTCTTTCGTTGAACCTAATAATTTGGTGTGTATATTCTGTTTTTGCTCTTCTTCAGGCCCTTGTAAAACTTTTCTCAGGGCGTAAGCCCATGTTATACAGTTTCCAGACATCTTTACCACGATTGCCAGTTCCAGCTGTTAAAGACACAGTTAACAGGGTATGTACATTCACCAATTTATTTTCTTCAATAATGTAGAATCCATACCTAGATGCCTTTTGGGGTGTTTTTTGCCATGCCTCATGAAAAACTGCGTAGTGATATTAATATGGTGTAACAGATTCAAACTTCTGCATGGAAATTAAAATAAAGGCTGTGACAAACCAGTGAAACTGGTGACAATTTGAAGCCAGTGCGATTCACATAGGATGACATGATGCCTATCGTTGTAAGGCTGTGCCACAGAGTGTGATTTCCAGGGTTTTTGAAGCACACCACTTTTGTTATCCTCCCCAGTTGTACAGCATTACTAAATGTGTGTGTTATAACACAAAACCTTGTATTGAAGTGTGTAAATATGGCAGTATGTCACAGAAACTGAAGGTTTGATTTTTAGAGGAGAAAAAAAAAAATCAGTCTGCTGCTAAAGAAGCAGCATGTCTTACTCTTTGGAGTGGAAAATTTTCAGAGAAGTTACCTCTTCCACTTGTGCTTTGCTGACAAATGTCTTAAAATAATATTTTATCTTTTGAAGTTTGCAGCAGAAGTTTAGAAGAGCATATACTCTTATCTTAAAAACATGGTATTTACAGCGTTATGGATTGATACTGGATAATCTTTTTTTACTGTTAAAGTGCTTTATATAGGACTGGTGAGAAGCTATGTATTAGTTCCTGTACTGATGCTGATTCTTTTCTTGTGTTCTAGTATCTGGAGTCAGTTCGACCACTTATGGATGATGAACAGTTCAAAAGAATGGAGGGTCTTGCCAAAGATTTTGCATTTAATTTGGGGCCAAGGCTTCAGTGGTATTTGAAGCTAAAATCCTGGTGGGCCACTAATTATGTGAGTAGATAAATAGGAGGCTCAGTTGTTCAAATTACATTATTTGTTCTCTGGTGCTTTTTTTTTTTGCTTAAATTCCATTATTTCTTAAATGTAAAAGAAGGAAATTGAAACTGCTTAATATTTTTTTTAACTACATGAGACTTTCTCAATAAATAATTTGTGTGAGTAAATAATAATAATAATAAATAAGTAAATAATTTGTGTGATTTGGTAAACAGTGTGGTGAGCAAAGGTGAATTAAACTTGAAAAAAATGAATCCTTATTTTGCATTTTGTTATTCTGGAGAATTTTGCTCTTAAAATTGTTTTTGGGGTTTGTTTATTTGCTTGTTGAGCTTTATAACTCAATAATGGGCTTGGCTACCCAGGTAGTTTAGAAGAGTGATTTAGAACAATTTTTTAATATAGAGCAGCTAAGGAATATATAAGAAAAACAAAGAACTGTATCAATTGAGTTGTTGGTCTATCTTTTCTTTTTTTTCTTTTTTTTTTCCTTACAAAAAAAAAATCCAATCCTCAATGTCATAGTGAGAACTATAATGTTAATTCCTTCTTGGTATGTTATTTAACATAACATACCTGTACCCCGGTAGCCTCATCTGTCCTGATAAAGGCTGTAAAGCATTCAGGAGACCTGATGCATTTTAAATATTTTGTGGAGCTCATGATTTCTTTGAAACCTTATCAGAGAGATATAGCTGAATTTAATTTGGTTCTCTCACCCTTTTTTCCCTGAAGTCTGATAGAAATTAGCGGGGCGGGGGTTATTGTCTTTTTTAAGTAGGGAGGCAAACCTGCAGTTTCCTTCCCACTTCTGTATGGAATGTTGTCTTGTGGAGCCATTAACACAGAAGACATAAACTGTGGAAATGATGAGATTTTACTGCTCTTGTTTTTCCTTCCTGCTGCAGGTTAGTGATTGGTGGGAAGAATATATCTACCTTAGAGGACGTGGACCAATCATGGTTAACAGTAACTATTTTGCAATGGTAGGTAAATCCTATAAACACCTTATATGCCAAGCACTGTAATGTTTATGGCAGGCATCTTACTTCATGGTGTCTTTCTGCTTAGAAATCCATTGTCACTGAGCATGTAACCTTTGATTGTCTTCTTGTATAACCTGCAGCAGGTGTCTCCAGGAGCCTTCAAGTATGCCACATGCTTGAAGTACTTCAAGTGCACCTGTCTTAACAGCCCTAGCACAGCTGCCACTTTGGCAAACTCATGCAGCAATGACTTAAACAGTTTTGTCCCTACTGTAAAAAGCAATCTTCCAAAGCTCCATGTAAAACTGCATGGGTAGCACAGCTGAAGGAGGCTTGTGCTCATATTAGCAAATGTACGTACAGGAAGTAAAATTGTAAAAGGCTGAAAAATAAAAAGGAAAAAATAAAGGAATATGATGGTCTTGGGTCAAGTTTTATGTAGCACTGTCTTTTCTACTCAAATGATTAATAATGATTAAGGAGATTGTGACTGCTGAAGAAAAGTTTCATCAGCTCACTGCACTTGTGCACTTACTAAATTTCAAAGCCTTTTCTACATTGTCCAGAATAAACTTTAAAGAACGTGGATGAGAAGTTCTATCAGGTTTATCTTTCTTTTAATGTAGCCTAGTAATCATTAACTTATGATTCTTATTTGCGTTACAGGACTTCCTTTCTTTATGTCCCACAACCCTGCAGGCAGCTAGAGCTGGTAATGTTATCCATGCCATCCTGCTCTATCGGAAAAAACTGGACAGACAAGAAATCAAGCCAGTATGTATATCAGCTTAAATGGCTTTTGATCCTTTTCCAGCACAATCTGTAAGAAGCTTGCCAGTTTTCAGAATGGGAGAGAAGAGGAATGTCTTATTGTTCTGAATTTTTGTGGTCCAAGTCATCTTGGCTATCACTTGAATTGTATATGGGCAGAAACTACGAACTGTCAAAAATACAGAATGGTATGGATACAATACAGGATGCTTGGGATAAAGGTCTGGAGGCCACTTGACACCAAGACTGAGCCAGTGGGAGATTATAATGATGATATAAATTCTGTGTTGCACTAATTTCTAGGTAGCAAAGATAGGCAAATCCCATTTGAGTTTCTGTACTATGCAATAGCTGTGTATTGTAGTAAACAAATACTGTGGAAACAATTAAGTAGGATTATTTTGAGATCACTGAAGGGATGTGATGAATAGTATGAAACTACAAGTCTGAGAAGTGTGAACTTTTGTTCCTACACAGCCATAAATAGCTTAAAAGAATGAATTAAGGGGTAATGCATGCTGCATGTGCACATTTTGCATCTAGACCATCCATGGAGAACTCTTTGGATTTTAGGTGCTAGCTAGCTTCAGTCTTCCCTCTTGAATGGTGAGCTTTTGGTAGAAGGGGAAAAAAAGGTATTTCTGGAATGTGCATGGGACATTCCATATGTAATTCAAGGAAAGACCATGAACAGGGAGGAAAAAAACTCAACACTGCATTAATGTGTTATAAATCTTACTATTTTGAAGCCTTTGTTTAGCCAGATCTTGGGGGTTTTTCTTTACCTTTTAATTTTCTAGTTGTATACACAAAATTAGATTTTAATGTACATTTGCTTCACAGATTCTTCTGATGGGATCTACTGTTCCACTCTGCTCAGCTCAGTGGGAAAGGATGTTTAATACTTCCCGTATCCCAGGAGAGGAATCAGGTAAGCAAGGCAGCCAAGGAGAATAAACACCTTGATGGGATTCAGGGCTCAGTGTCTTTTCTACTAGAAATCTGGTTTTCCAGATAAAGATCTGACTGGCACAAGTGTACATCAATACTGTGTTCCAAGACTCAGGATGTAATGGATTGTAATGTAATGTAATGTAGAGTGCCTAGATACTTTTTGTTTTAGGGAGATTTTGAAGCTTTTTTAGTGGTTTTCCTCCGTTACTTAATTTAAAAAAACAACTTCAAGTTAATATCTGCCCTGTTTTTTAATTTATAAATACCCTCTATTTTTCCAAGCCCGAGATAATTTTTTAGGTCTTAATATTAAAAGTGGTATTTTTTTATTGCCTTTTTTATTTTTCCTAAGCTTTGTCACTGTAAATAGAGTCAGTTTGCATCTGGAAGAACTTACCCTTTGTAATCAGCAGGTGGAAGAAAACATTGCTATTCATTTCCTTACTCTTTGAGAACTTCACAGCAGATTTTAGTGGAGATTTGTGCTGTTGTGTTTTTCTACAAAAGCTTAAGCTGTATCTAGGCTTCTCTGATCATGTCATATGCTGATGTCAAGCCTCTTAGAACTGATTTACATGTTTACCCAACAGTCCATCATTGTGGCAGCATCACAGTGAAATACAAGCAGGAGTTATTGTTTAGTCACCTCCATTGGGAATGCACGTATGGGCTGCCACTTGAAGACACAATGTTTTTTTTTACTTTCTACGAGGCCTGTAACTCACTCTAATGTTTCAAACTGCCTTCAAACTTGTTACTCCCACTGAACTACAGAGTTCAAAACACAAGAGTTTGTGAACAGACACAAGGATCTTGCCCATTCTTCCCTGCTGGAGGGCTGGTATTTGCTGTAAGGAGATGGATAAGGGGGAGAAGTGGCATTAGGTAGTGGATAAAGCAGTAGGTGCATGTGTTAGATAAAGACTTTGCTCTCAGTTCTGCTGCTGGCCTTTGCTAGATTGTTGAGGAATTTTTTTCCACCTGTGCCTCAGATGGCTTTATCTGTGAAGTGAAGGAAGGGACATCCCTGGTGTCGTTACTTTGTGTCATAACCAGAAGCTTAAATAGACAAGCAGCTTTTTGAATCTCTATTGGACAACTTTAGTCTGTGAGCTACTATTACTTACAATACTGCAGTACTTCAAGTACTGAGAGTCCAACCCTTGCCTCTTCCATTATTGTCAATAAAATAAAAGATATAAACAGTTTTCAGTTAGCTTCAGATTTGGTTTTCTTTCAGTCTAAAATGAGTTTTGCCCAGAAGTGTAGAAGTGACTCATTCTAACTAGCACCTGTATACATCCTGTATATCTTAGTGGTTCTCCTCAGTTTCTCCTGTTTAAAGTCTCTCAAATTAAACTACAGTCAATATAATAGTTAACTGTATTTTCCTCCTAAGCTCTTCACATTTCCTATTAGGCTTTTTACATCTTTCTTTGTTGCTGTTTTTCTGAATGAAAAGCAATGGTATCACTGTATATGTCTAAGTGAGTTCCAAAAACATTTTTCACACATTCTTATGAGCAGCTTGACTCCCTGTCCCCTGATTTCAATTACTTTATGTATATTACAGTTCCTAAAGAAAAAAAGGAAAAAAATTGTCTTCATATTAATTGGTGTTAAAATCTTGATGAGCATTGTATCCTGTCACTTGACCAGTTGTTAAATAGTCATGATTGTTGAGAAGACATGCTATGGAGTGAACAACTTCGTCTGTGGTTTGATACAGTGCTTTCATGACTAAATTTAGGCTTATCCCAGTTAAGCCATGTAGATAGCAAAATGAGGAAAAAAATGTGGCTTAGTTTTCTGCTTCACATAACATTATACATTTTGGCCATATATGGAATATTCACTCTGCGTCTGCCAGGACAAATGTAAACAAAAGCTGATGGTATAAATCTGAGTTTCTTTAGACTCTCCATGAGTTGTCTAGCACCTGAATGCGAGCGATTTAAAAGTACCTTCCCTGATATTCATCTAGCATGTTCTTTGCTAACTGCTTCACCACACTACACAACTAGTGCTCATTTTTCAGACATAGAAATACAGATTTCGTTGCTTAATAGTGGCCTCCAGTGCCACCAGTGAACTGGTGGTGCTATATATGCAAATGATTGTCAGATCTGGGTATTTGACTGTTTCATGCGGGAATCTTTATGATGAAATAACATGGGGTACTGAAATAACTCGTAGTGCATGCAATGGGCATCTGATGTTATTTAGTGCATTAGTGTTTTGAGACTTCCGCTTTGTGTTCACGTAAGTGATTACAATTCTAGATACCCTCCAGCATGTGAAAGACAGCAAACACATTGTTGTGTATCACAAGGGCCGTTACTTCAAAGTGTGGCTGTACCATGATGGCAGATTGTTGAGACCCCGAGAAATTGAACAGCAAATACAGAGAATTCTTGATGATGATTCAGAACCTCAGCCTGGTGAAGAGAAGCTTGCGGCTCTTACTGCAGGAGACAGGTATGGTGGTTATTACTTTTTAAATAAGCTTAGTATTTAGAAATCATTGAATATTTGCTTTTGAATTTTAAAATAATCTGCAGTTGTTTATACCTTGGTCACTGATTTTGTATATGGATGATGTGTAACAGTGCTTCAGTTGCTTGTAATTGTGTGTAGTTAAAAAAATTTTGCAGTGGCAGTCGTTTATGTGGATTATTATTTTTACTGTTGTCTTCTTCCTTATAATAGATACTTTCTTTTGTTTTAAATGTAGATGATCTATGCTGTAGCTATTGCACGTGCAGAAATGTTGAATTTCTGAGGATGAAGTTTTGCACATGTGTGTTGATGAGTTGAATTGGTTCTTAGGATTCCACTATACAAGTATTCTCCGAGCTTTTCACAGCTCTCATAGTTTAAATGCAAGGAAAGTAGTTGTGTCAAATTCCGCAAGAGTAGGAGGAATGTCTCACAGTGATTTTAAAGGTAATCATACCTTGTCAAATTTATGTAATCCGGCTATAAACCAAATTTTCTTTTTTACAGAGTACCATGGGCTAAGGCTCGTCAGGCTTATTTTAGCCATGGAAAGAACAAACAGTCCTTAGATGCTGTTGAGAAAGCAGCGTTTTTTGTGACATTGGACGACGTCGAGCAGGGGTACAAGACAGAAGACCCAGTGAGGTCACTGGATGCATATGCAAAATCATTGATACATGGCAGATGTTACGACAGGTGCAGTATTGACACTGTGGAAAATGCCTTCCTTTTTTTTAGAATTTGGCTAATACATATGAATTAATGATGACTTTTAAATTTATAAATTCCACAGAATCACAGAAGGGTTTGGGTTAGAACAGACCTTCATCTCCAACCCCCTTTGCAACAGAAAGGGACAACTTACACTACATCAGATTGCTCAAAGCCCAGTCCAACCTGACCTTGAACATTTGCAATGACAAGGCATCCACAACTTCTCTGGACAATCTGTTCCAGTGTCTCACCAGCCCAGTGTAATAAATATTCCTCCATTATAACACATCTAAATTTATCCTCTTTCAGTTTATGTCTGTTGCCTTGTGTCCTGTCACTGTTAGCCATGATAAAAAGTCTTTCTCAGCTTTTCTTATAAGCCCTCTTTATATATTGAAAGGCTGCAAGAAGGTGTTCCCAGAGCCTTCTCCAGACTGAACAACAAGCCCAGCTCTCACCCTTTCTTCACAGGGGAAGTATTCCAGGACTCTTGCTATTTTTATGACTCTCCTCTGACCCAGTCTAACAGTTCCATGTCCTTCTTATGCTGAGAACCCCAGAGCTGGACACAGCTCTCTAGGCGGGATCTTACCAGAGTGGAGTAAGGAGGAAGAATCCCCTCCCTCACCCTTCTAGCCGGGCTGCTTCTTAAGCAGCCCAGGACATGACTGGCTTTCTGGGCTGCAAGTGCACCTTGCCAGCTCATGATGAATTTTTCATCCCCAAGTCCTTCTCTGCAAAGAAGATGAATCCATTCATCCATCAGTCTGTTGATACTGGGCATCGTCTTGACCCAGATGCAGGGCCGTGTAGTTAGCCTTGTTGAACTTCATGAAGTTCAAGTTTTTGTCTGTTAATTTAAATGTTCTTAAATGAAAAAGTTCTAGTGCATTTGAATGTCAGTTTTAGAGAGAGGGGAAGTTACAATACAAAAATGCTTTTGAAATGTACAAAACCATAAAGAAATCTCGATTTCTTTTGTAGGTGGTTTGATAAGACATTCACTCTTATAATATTCAGAAATGGCAAAATGGGTCTGAATGCAGAGCACTCCTGGGCAGATGCTCCTATTGTTGGACACCTGTGGGAGGTAGGTGTTTGGTACAAAGAGCTAATGCAGAAGATAATGTGATACAATCTTGAAGCAGCCCTGAAGGCCAGCAGCTACTTTCAATCCCTTGCAGTCACATTGCTGATGAGTGAGTAGCAGCTGTGCAATTTGAAAAAGATCCCAAACCCTTGCTTAAGAAGCTGCTGTTTTTTGAAACAGCATTTTTGTGAGGTTAGATGTCTTCACAGAGAAGTCATACAGCTCCCCATCTAACACTATTTTAATGTTTTAAATCCTCAGATTCTTGCCTCTTTGATATGACATTGTATTTTTTGCATGTACGTATTCCTAAAGCTCTTAAGCTTTCTTATGCTGTAAAACCCCATGCTTACTTTCAAAATTTGAAAAATTGTACACAGCTTAACTTTTCTAAGCATTGTTTGCTAAGATGCAGACTGATATGCTGTTGACGTTATAGCTTGTATTTATTTGCAATGAATGCAGTAAATTCACTTTGTCATGTCTGTTCATCATGTGCTTAGTTTACTTCTTGAAATCTTATTTGATTTTTTTCCTTTTTTGTTTTGAAGCTTAAACCTACGAACAGTTACATGACTCAAATCAATTAAAACTATTTCAAAAGCATTAGTTAATTTTGATTTTGTATGTATTTGTGCAAATGGTATTGAGTCTAACTGGTCCCCCCGAGTAATTTCTAAGTTTTATTATGGAAGTGTTTCCATGTGTATGAGAAAAAAAAAAAAAAAAAAAGCCTCATTGCATTCTCCACCCAGGGAAGAAAAAAGGCCAAACTGATTTGAAAGTGACATGACAATGCAGTGTAGACTATCTCAATGAAAGAGGGATGCTTTTTTTTGCTTTAATGAATTACATGCTTAATTCATATATCTGTACTTAATATTAGTTGATACATTTTCTGCTAAGAGTTAAGATGACTGAAACAAGATTTAATTTTTTAGCAAGTTATCTGTTAGCTCTTTACAGATTGTCTGTTTTTAGAATAGAATGGACTAAAGTTTATTTCATAGTTGTCATGTTCTGACCACTAAGTAAAATGAGAAAATGCAATTAAAATATGAGATTAGAAATAAATCATCAGGCTTTTTCTTTCCAAATTGAGCAAATTTAAATATTTTGATAATTCTTCATGTTTGTACGTGGGCTCGTTGTTCTGGATAATATTTTTTAGCATTGAGGATGGATGCTTCATATCTTGTAAGACTGGGCCTTTTATGTCTGTTCAAGAAGTGTTGTTCATCTTGGAAACATTCTTCTTTCCCACCTAAGAGCTCTAGTGCACATGTAAAATAAGCTGCAATTTTTAAAGGGATACAAATCTTAAAAGTAATTGAGTTCTTGCAAGGATTTGCAAGATTTTTACTCTGAAATAAATTATTCCTTGATAAGTAAGTTTTGACAAGTAACAAACTTGAAGAAATTCTCTAGAATCTAAATTGAACGAAGATTGTGAAGTCCAAGTTAAACGTAAGCTTAGTTTCTTACTTCTACTTAGTTTGAGGTGGGTTTTTTATTAAGTAAGTAGTATCTAACAAAATGCACCAGTGTAATTGAATAAGTGTTTGGTGCACATTCTTCTTGTAAAACTGGGGGCTTCACTTGCAGTTGTGGTTTGGAAATGGATTGTACATTTTATTTGGCTATGTAGTGAAAATAGATTATATTTCTTTCACAATGAAATCCTAATTCCATGGCAATAAGTCATGTGTTGCAATTCTGAAGAAGTATCATTCTTTGCAGAATGTGATGGCAACTGAGTATCTTGAACTGGGCTATTCAGCAGATGGACATTGCAAAGGAGATACCAACCCAAATATTCCTATTCCTACCAAACTTCAATGGGAAATTCCAGAAGAAGTAAGTACATAAGATTTAGTGGTATGAGGCAGAAACTTCTCTTTTCTCCAGTGGTCAAATAATTAATATAATTATTGATAACCCTATAAATCAGCTTTAAATTCCTTTGCGTGCTCTAGGTTGTGTACTTCATGTGTATCCATTACTCAGTTTACTTAGAAAGTCAGGGGGTTTTAAAATCAATCTTTAAAAATTCTGACTGGGAAATGACAATATTTTACTAGAAGCTTTCTTGGTTGGCAGTATGTCAAAAATAAGTGGCCACCTCTTTTGAATAGTGGCTGTATTAAAATAAACTTTTACTTGCTGTGGTTTCATTATTGTTGTCAAAACAAATACTCTTGTCTAATAGTTCCTTTAGAATAGCGCTTTTTTTGTGTTCATAGCTCTGTATACATGCCTAAAAAGATTTGATTTTCTAAGGTTTTTTTTTCCTCAGTTTCTAGAAAAACTGGCACCACCTTTTTAGATTTTAATTTTGAATAAAAAGCTAATGGTTAGTGATGTGTTTAATTAAACATGTATGGGAGCGTGGAAGCCACAGTATTATTGCCATTCTGTAACTGTAGGCCATTCTTTTATATTCACCTGATCTGAACAGTTTTAATGCTGGTGGGTTTTATAAAAGGGTTTTCTTCTGATGTGTACTGGCTTAAAATGTTTTTATTAGCTTTTTGAATTTTAACTTTTGAGCAAAGATATCTTCTTTCTCTAAAGAGAAATTATTTAGGTAATGATGTTTCTGGCATGCATAAAGGCATTTCCTGTTTATCAGTTAAAAATACTTGCAGTTTTTCAGTAGTTTTCTCAAATGCCATGAATGCATGTTTGTATAATACAGGTGTTTGGTTTGTTTTTTTTTTTAAGTGCCAAGAAGTGATTGAGAAGTCTCTGAGCACTGCTGTCGCTCTAGCAGATGATGTGGACTTTCATTCATTTTATTTTGATACTTTTGGGAAAGGACTAATAAAGAAAGTGAAGACCAGCCCTGACGCCTTTGTGCAGCTCGCGCTGCAGCTTGCTCACTATCGGGTAAGAACAGACTGCTGCTGGCTTACAGAACCTCAGTAAGCTGGGTGTAATGGGTGTAATGGGTTTGTGGCTGAAACATGTGACTGTGTAATCTTGCATTGCTTGTACAAGGTTGTTAAAGACATTCGATGCAAATTGATAGCAAACCCTAAGCAGATCACTAGCTGGAAATCAATTCTACAATGGTTCACATATTGGTACATTTCTAAATTTTTTCTCTTCTGCTTAGTTGGTCTGTCCCTAAGGATTTTGTACTAGAAGTAAGATAGGAAGCTTCTAGTAGCTGTGTTTATAATCTAAACAGTGTTAAACTTACCTTTTAGATTAGAGTCACGCATGATGCAGTAGTCATGGATGATCCCTAAGAGGATTAACAGAAATATCTATTTGTATTTTCTTCTGTTAGCTCACCTTTCCTGTAATGTGCTGTCAGAAAAGACCAGTGTAGCAACATTCAGCTTCTCTTATAAACTGAAGAAGATTGATTATGAAATGCAGAGAGTAGTCCTTGCTAGTTTGGTTGTTCTGTTAGTGTTTATCAAATCCTGCTGCTAATCTTATTTTTGCCTTTATTATCTTCAGGTAAGTGGGCTAATGGTGGGCTACTGAAAACTTAAACCTTGAGTTTAATTTGTGGAGTGATTCATAGCCTGTGTGCTTAGCTTGGACTGTTGATTAACAAAGAGGGGCCAAGTCTGTCTAAACCTTAAAGTTCTTATTTTTCCCTTTTCCAAGGATATGGGAAAGTTTTCTTTAACATACGAAGCGTCCATGACACGCTTGTTCCGAGAAGGCAGGACCGAAACGGTTCGTTCGTGCACTGTTGAGTCCTGTCGTTTTGTTCAAGCCATGGAAGACCCAACAGAAAGTGTAAGTTCATGGAGTTGGTGCCTTATACAATCAGGGGAGTGGGTTTGGTTTGGGTATTAGGAAGAAATCCTTCTCTGTGTGGGTGGTGATGCACTGGAACAGGTTTCCCAGAGAAGTTGTGGATGCCCCATCGCTGGCAGTGTTCAAAGCCAGGCCAAATGGAGCTCTGAGCAACCTGTTCTAGTAGATGTCCTTGCCCATGGCAGGGAGGTTGGAATGAGATGATCTAGAAGGTCCCTTCCAACCCAGCCAGCCTATGATTCACTCATAATTCATAAGGCACATGAGTTACCACTGGACAACCATGTAAATCCCCAAATAGTTTTTAAGTATTTAGAGTGATGCTTTTTTTCTGAGGAAGGAAGAGCTGCATAAGGTAATTACCCACATTTTCTGTCAATAAAGCAGAAATTCTGGGCCATACCAAAAAAGAAAGGCAGAACTTAACTAAATATACTCTTATTTGCCTGTTTCTGAACTCAGGAAACTGTGATTACTTGTGAAATTTTTGTGATTTGTAAAACTCGAGCGTAGATTTGTAGAACAACTAATTTCCAGTTAAGCTTTCCTTTTTGACAGGGAAGCAAGAGTAATTCACAGGAAGGAAGTAGTTGGTCTTATATGTTGATTTTGATGACCAGCGTTAATGGACCTCTGTACCTTTGGTGTTGGCAGTTTGTCTTCTAAAATAGCTCTGGCAGTTAGAGCTTTTTTTAAATCATGTTGAGGTTTGCTCCCTATAATTCTTTTAAGACCAGTATCAATAGAAACTATAAATAATGTAGTATTGTGTTTGATTGTAGGGTTAGATAACATTTAAAATACAAATTAGTTTTCATTATGCAGTTTACAGCAGGTAATAGCTGACACTTGCTAATACCTAAAGTTAAATACCTGAGGTTGAAAAGCTGGAGGATACTATTTGAGGTCACTTGTCTTGTACTTGACCTTTAAGTGCTCAAGGCTTGAGAGTCATTGCTGTAACTTAGTTTTTGCACCTCATCCTTAATGCAGTTCACTTAACTGAGTTTTGTTTATCTTTTTTTATTTGTTAGACTGAAAATACACTGAAGTTCTTTCGGCAGGCAGCTGACAAACATCAGCACTTGTATCGCCTTGCCATGACTGGGGCTGGCATTGACCGCCACCTCTTCTGCCTTTATGTCGTGTCCAAGTACCTCGCTGTAGATTCTCCTTTCCTCAAGGAAGTAGGTGGCTTTTATTGATAACTCTTCATTACCATAAGTAGTCCTTGGGTTAGTTAGTGTTTTGTGGTATCTGCTCTTGTACGACTCTGATTTTCCTAAGAAAAAAAGGTAAAATTTCAGCTGGTTAAGATCTGCTGATAAATTGTTAAGTTAGTTTCATTTTCCTTTATGTATGCATTTATTGATAGACCTAGAAGAATGCTTTCAATGGACTTGTTAGCAAAATACTTGTTACTTAGAATTCCAAGAAATATATAGTCAGTATTGAAAGCAAAACTTTTGCTTGTGGGTTTTGCATATTTTCAAGGAAGTACAACAGAAGCTGTGTGATTTCTCTTTGAATTTTCTTGTGAAACTGGCCAATTCAATTACTTTTAAGTTACTAAGAGTTAAAGGAGCTGGATATGATATTAATATCATTGTTTCTTACTTTGACAAATTACTAATTAAACTGGATTTTAAAGCTGGGTTTTATAAAAATAATTACGCTGCACCTGTTCATTTTTTCAGATTAATAAAAAAAATGTGTTCCACCTTGCCTCAAAATTAAGCTCTCGCATTTTTCTGCTTGATTACCTAAATGTGGCTAAGTCAAGAATGAAACAACTTTCTACAGTCTCCACAAATTTTCAACATGTGTTGTTAGAGATTGTGCAAGTTTCTAACTTGATGTAGGATCTTCCTGGGATTTGAATATGGCTAATAATGGTCTTGTTAAAACAAGACCTTTTGTGTATAAGTTACATGGCTTAGACCAGAGAATATTGTTTGAAGTAGCATTTCTATTGAAATTCTATTTTATTCTCTTTGAGGAATTAACTTCTTCATATGTTAATGGTTTCCGTAACAGGACAAGTTTAACTGTTTCATTTAAGCTTCTTAATTTTTCATTCCATTGAAATGGGAGTTATCCTTAATATTGCTTTATAAAGTGTTTTCTAACAATTTATAAAGCAATATTACACTTGTTATAGCACTTGTTATCTTGTTATCTTGACTAGTTTTTGAGAAAGTTGCATGTTCTTAAACAGTGTTTTCTATTTGTTTGCATCTCTTTCATATCTAATAAAGGTTTTGTCAGAACCTTGGAGGCTGTCAACAAGTCAGACACCACAGCAGTACATTGATCTGAAGAAGAACCCGGAAATGTTAGCCTCTGGTGGAGGGTTTGGGCCGGTATGTTTCCTAAAAACAAGTACCCACTAAAAAGAGTTTTATTTTCAAGACACCTGTCAAAAAATTTCAGATCTGTCATCCCTCATTGTTGCATATCAAAGGTGCAGTTCATGCTTTTAATTGCATGTGTTTAATACTTTCCTGTGATGTGGCTGTGCTCTGAAAAATCTACAAGATTATCCCACTACAAGAATAGATTATTATTATTAAGGAAATATACAGTTATGAAATGTGGTACAGGGCTACATGGCAAAAGGATCTGATGAAATTTGGGTTCTTATCACATTGCCTGTGCCCAGATCTTCTGTACATCAGGCTGATATTACAGTAATAGTCACCTTATTACTTAAACTAGATTTTAAGGTTGGGATTTGTAAAAGTATTTACACTTGACTTGTTCTTTATATTTCCTGCTTGATTGATAAATGTGTTCATACATTCCTCCAGATTAAGCTGCTCACATTGTTCTGCTTGCCCCTCCTAAGTGTGAAAAATGGCCAGGTCAAAAATACAGCCGTGTTCTATGACTTCTGTAGACTTCCAAGAAACCAGTGTATTGTTAGAGGTTTGACAAGCTGCTTACTTGCTGCCATATTTTATTGATATTTAATCTTGGCCACTGATAAGAATATTGGTGTCAACAAGACCTCTTAAGCAGCCTTTATGGGGCTCTTATACTAGATTAATCTGTTTTCAGAAAGTGTTTCTATTGAAGGAACAATGAGAGGCATCACAGGACTGCTCTTTGCCCCCCAGAAGTTAGGGTAACAAGTCCAGTGTATTTTAGCTGGTTTGTCAAGCTGGAAGATGGGGGGTGGAAGGTGGGGTGTGTTAAATTGTTGTTGTTTATTTACTCATGTTTCTGATACAGCCTTCAGTAGTTTTTGAAGTTGAAATGAATTTGACTTGCAGTATCAAGGAGGCCTAGCTATGGCCATACTGCTCATTCTTGAGAAACTGGCTTCCTCAAGCAGATTATGAAGTCAGCATTCCAAATGCCCAAAAGGCAATAGAAAAGGGTTTTAGCTGCAAGAATTTATAGCACTCTTTTCCTTTTTTTTTTTGTTTTGTGTGGGTTTTTTTTTGTTTGTTTGTTTGTTTTGTTTACAAAAATTGTGCTTTGGTTTGCTTAATTAGCCCAGAGATTCAGTACATCAGCTTTCCATGCATGTGGTTTTTTGTTGGTTTTGAAGGGGCTTTTTAAGCATTTATTAGAGTTTATCTCTGTAGCAGTGGGAAGAGTTGAGAAGACTGTTTGAGAAGACTTAACAGCAGTGGTGACAAAGAGATGGAAGGTTGTGGTCCTTTGAGTTAGGAAAGACATAGAGAGGGGTGACATCAGGATGATCTGTGTTTACCAGGCTTAGTTTGAATATAACATCAGACTGAAATTTGGGACAGTCATTGCTACTAATGTTGAAATTGGACCAGACCTCTGCTCGTGGTACAGGTGTTCAGAATCACATGTTTGCTGTAGAGTCAGAAGCAAATACAAGGCTTTTACACTGTGCTTGTTTACATCTGCAGAATGATCCCAGGAGACTGATTGTTTAGGTATACAAATTAACTATTTTATTCCTTGCTGTTTAAACACCAAAGCTGTGTAGCTGCTTAGAACCAGGCCTTGATAAGGGAAGCTGTTTGAATAAGTATTTTATTTTAAACTATTAAAGCTGGGAAATATTACAAATATTCAGCAAATGGTTATTCCATGCACTTCAGATGAACTATTCCTTAAGTGGAGCCAATATTCAGAAAATATGTATTAAATGTAGAAGCTGAAGTTTTACTTGAGGAAATTGCAACTGATTTTAAAAACTGTAGCAACTTCTTAATTGTGGATAAGTTGACTGAGAATGAAGGAGAAAGAAGTTTAAAATGTTTTTCTCTTCCTTCTTCCCCTAGGTGGCTGATGATGGTTATGGTGTTTCTTACATAATCTTGGGTGAAAATTTCATTCATTTCCATATCTCCAGCAAAATATCTTGTTCTGAGACGGTAAGAGTCAGTCCTTTCCTATAGTTTAATAAATCTGTTCTGCTGGGTGCTTATAGAGTTGTTCTACTCATTGTCTAAAATATATAGTAGAACTTGCAACCTACTGTTATAAGGTGTATTTTTCTTTCTCAATATATGGTGTTTTGCTGGAGTTTTTTTGTCTCCAGTTGTATAAATTTAATTGTTTCACGAACCAAGGGTACCATATTCCATTTCACTTACACTTTCAAGCATAAAGAAAACATTTGGCCCAGGATCATCTTTACGCATGTGTAGTTCCCTGCAACTCATGTGAAATGACCACATGTGTCCCCTAAACAGAAAGATGGGCATATCTTGGTTTTTCTTATTACAGTTTTGATTGGTTTGTCTCAGGCTACAGCTGTAAAGACAAAATAAAATGTATGCTATCTATTTAAGCCTTCCTGGTTTAAATAATACTGAACTAAGCTGACCCATAAATTACAATCCGTGCTTAAGAAACATAACTAATCAAAAATTTATTAAAATAACACCCATTATTAGAGTATAGTAGATGTCATATGTTGAATATCCTGCTGTTGTGGAGGTCTGCTTTGAGTTCAATTAATCCTTGCCCTTTATATTGTTATGGCCTTCCTAAATATACCGAGTTCGTTCAGGATTACATAGCTGACCTAGTTTTCCTCTTTTGACCTTGTCCAGGAGATCATGGTGCTTGTAGTTAATCTTTAAAGATTAGGAAATACAACTTTGTTTTTTTAATAGTTGAAATTGTTCTTAAGATGCCTGTTAGCTTGTACTTTAAATTTCGCTCTGTTCTTTTTACTTATTAGTCGAGTCAAAAGTCCATACAGAAAAGGCAGTATTTTATGTGTGTGGCCTTGATATTGATAGGGTCATTGTAGTAGATCCCTGGAATGCAGCTAATAATTTACGTTTGGAATCTGAATTTCTTTCTTGTACCATTCACCTAGTACTTAGAATAAACAGAACAAGTGTCTGTTTTGTTTACACTTAGAAAGTTGTTATTTTCATTTTCAATACTTTTTTCAATGGCAAATGATTCACCATTTCTGATAGGAACTCGAATAAAAATAATTTTTCTGCTCTTTCAATATTTCTTGGTCATTACTCATACACTCACTGAACATTCCCTTGTTTTATGAAAATGAGCTTTTGCAAAATTTTGTTGGAAAAGCAGTATCAAAACCCAGCAATTTTAGAGCAGCAGAAAGCTATGCATGCATCTGATTTTAAAAGGATATGGTCTCATCTGTGACTGTAAGAAAGTAAATGCATAATGAAGAACTCATTGGTCAGTGACAGCATGAACCTGCATTAATCTGTATAGTGTTAAAATTTATGTTATAAAAATCCCCATTCTATGGTAAAATACATGCTTGAATTCCATAAGCTCCAAAACTACAAAATATTACAAAGTTTTTCCTTTTGCCTGAAAAACAACTGTTGATGGACAGTACAAGTATTTGGTTTTTGTTTGTTTGTTTTTAAAGGATTCTCATCGTTTTGGAAAGAACATCCAGAAAGCAATGGTTGACATCATGGGTTTATTTAACCTTAGTAAAAACTGTACAAAGTGATCTGCTTTCTTGGTGCCAAGCAAACTCCTCGTGGTGGGATGAGAACTCTTCTGCACAGGGAACAAGAGCAAGGTTTGTCGAAGAGTAGCTGGAGAAGAAACTGAGTCATCACCTTCTTGATCACCTATTAAAGCCTTAGCAGTATATTAAATGTGTCTTTTTTTGTTGTGGTTTTTGGAGGTTTTTTTTGTCAGTAGTATGGAAGAGCTTATTTCTACAAAGGATGACTTTTAAAATTTTCTGTGTTTCTAGGGAGGAAGCATAGTATCATTGCATGAAGTCATGTATATTCTAACTTCTGCAGTTTTCTCTTAATTTGCATACACTTTCTCTCTCTCTTTTTTTTTTTTTTACTTTAAATTAATTTACTTGTTTCCAGAATCAAAGGGATAAAACACACCGGCTTAAATACTAGAAAAAGTTAGATTTGCTATGTATTAATAGCAGAATATTCTTCAATGTATCTGCTGCTTTATGTAAATGAGTGACAAACTTGTGGCCATTTGCCTTCCTTGGTTTCTTTTTAGAGGTAAATTGTGTAAAATATACCAAAAGATCCCTGCTGTAACCTACCTTAACACACTAAGTTGTAGAAATTTTATGGTTTTTGCAAAGAAGGAAAAAAAAAAAAGAAACCCAACCACTGGATAGTACAAAGTGTCCCCTCATTAGAAAGTATCACATTTTTCTTACTGCTTACAAGACTGTTCATGACGTTGATTTTATTTCTGTATAAATAAATGGACCTGTGTGCTTGTTCATGCAAGTGCCTTAGAAAAACAAAGATCCTTAGCCCAGGAGAAAGGCACATGCTGGCAGTTGTTTCAGTGGTAAGAGGTAAAGCTGTAGTAATGCAGACCGGGTTTTCAAATTACAAAATAGGATGAAGTGGCATAAGCAGATGTGAATATGTTGCCAATAGTGCAGTCAGGTTTGAAGCTCTAATGAAATGCTCTAAAGTTCTAATGAATTGAGCTTAAATATAAATATTGCTTAAATA